ATATATATATATATATATATATATATATACAATTTATAATTTAGCAAAACTGAATTTTCCATTAGAACTTAATCAAGCTTATTTGGCAAAATTTGCCGTAATAAAATTTATAAATGTTCTCTTAAATTTTTTATATTTACCTCCTCCTCTCTCCTTCCTTCAACCTATTTTCCTACCTACAAAGAAAAAAGAAAAATAAGAAGGTCAGGATAGAGGAAGTATATAATTTCAAAGGGAAAATACAATTTTCACTCTTATCTAGAAATTTCCATATCAGTCTCATGACTACTTATTTTGAGTATAAAAAGTTCCAAAATGATTAGTGCTTTTGGTCAGTCATACCAGCTTCACTATAGTTTAAGTCTCAAGTTAATTTTATGTTTAAAATAAAAAGCCTTTAAGAGTCTTAAAAAATTGTAATGTGGTATAAAGCATAGTATAAGGAAAATCACTGCTCAGTATAAGTTGAATTGTAATGGGGATAGCTGTCAGCCAGATAGGATGTCAGTGTGAAATCATTATCTATTAAAAAATCAGTGCTCTTAATACTATGCAAACTTTTATCTGGATGTGCTTGAAGTACTCCATTATCCTCTGGTCATTTTCTGATTTGAGCAATAGGATCAGGGACTACTTTAGCCTACCAGACCTTTAGGCAAGGAGCCATTCAAAGCATAATTTTACTGAAAATTTATGGTTGCTTCTGTTGGTAAAGAAACATCTGGAATCTGTTAAAGTTGTTTTGTGTATCACTTTGGATGTTAAACCTACAGGCAGGTTTGTTGAATACTTAGTATGTAGCCTGGGGAATGGTACTTAATAATATAATTTTCAGCAAGTTTACATAGAGTAGGAATCTTCCTCTAATGTATTCTCAGCAATGTCTCTAGTTCTGTTGAAAAGCACTTAGTGGTTCAAGAGTAAAAAATCCAAAGCTCTTCCTACCCTCTCTACTTTTTTTCTTCCTATAATTATTCTGACTTCTTCAGGATTTCTGTCCTGTACTGCCTCCCTTTGCTGAGTATATCAGTCTCACTCTCTTCAGCCAGCTCACTTTCTTGACTGTGGGGTGTTGATGAGCAGACACAACCATGTGCAAGTGCAGACTCAGCGTGCTTCAGTGCTTCATTTGTTACCCACACTCCCCACAGGGTGCATGTCCACCCTCAAACTCACTCTCACCAGATCACCTGGTTTCCTGATTTATGGAAGAGGACTGTCTTCTTCAACTCTTAAATCTTTTCTCTTTTCTCCCTTATGCTTTCAGAACAAACATTTTTTAAAATTGAACTATAGTTGATATACAATCTTACATTGTTTTCAAATATACAGCACAGTGGTTCAACAATTACCCATATTATTGAATCCTCACCCCACTAGTCTAGTTACTATCTGTCAACATAGGAAGATGCTACAGAATCACTGGCTACATTCCTCATGCTGCACTACTATCCTCATGACCAATGTATATTATGATTGAGAATTTTTGTGCCCTTTTATCACTTGGACCCTTTCCACCCACTCACTCCAACCCCTCACCCATGGTAGCCACCAGTCACTTCTCAGTGTCCGTGAGTCTATCAGCCTGGCTTATTTCACTTAACATAATACTCTCTAGGTCCATCCATGTTGTTGCAAATGGCAAGATTTCTTTTTTTTATGATTAAATAATATTCCATTATGTATATGTACCACATCTTCTTTATCCATTTATCTATTGATGGACAGTTTGGTTGCTTCCATTGGCTATTGTAAATAATGTAGTAGTAAACAGGGGTACACATACCTTTTCAAATAAGGGAATTTGTTTCCTTTGAGTAAGTTTCTAGAAGTGAAATTACTGGGTTGTAGGGTATTTCTATTTTTAGTTTTTAGAAGACTGTCTATACTGCTTTCCACAGTGGCTGCAGCAATTTACATTCCTACCAACACTGTAGGAGGGTTTCCTTTTCTCCACATCCTTGCTAACACTTGCTATTTCTTTTCTTTTGGATAGTGACCATTCTAACTGGTATGAGGTGCTATGTCATTGTCATCTTGATTTATATTTCCCTGCTGATTAGCAATGGGGAGCATCTTTTCATGTGCCTGTTGGCCATCTGTATTTCTTCTTTGACAAAATATCAGACCAATTCTTATTTCCTCTGCTGCAAAGGGAAAGGAATCCCTCTACTCAGTCAAAATGGTTCTACCCTTTTTTCCATCTTCAGTTTTTCTCTCTTCTCTGGTTCCTTTCCTTCAGCTTGTGAAGCAACTTAAGCCTCTTTCACCATTCAAAAGCAAAAAACAAACAAAACCACTGCATTTGATTTCCTGTCCCCAGCTTCTTATTTCATTTATTTCTAAATACAAATCATTTTGCTTTTCCCTCATCACTCCATTGAAACTACTCTCACTAAGGCTATCTAGTTGATGAATCTAATGGCTGCTTTCCAATTTATTTTTCTTGGTGCCTCTGCTGTGGAATTTGGGGCCATTTCTTTTCTTTTTTTTTTTTAAGCTCTACATCTTGAAATCCATTTTCCTCAAGAACCTTGCTACTTAAATTGTGATCTGTGGAACCAGCAGCATTAATATTATTTGGGAGCTTTTTAGAAATGCTGAATTTCAAGCACCACCCCACACTTTCTGAATGAGTGTATTTTAACAAGATCCCTAGGTGATTTTGTATGTACATTAAAGTTTGGGAAGCACTCCTCTAGGACACTCATTTTTATCCCCCTGCTACTGGACTAGTTCAATTTAGCTCCAAGGTCAGCAACTTGGTGGTACCTTTTCTGACTCCCCAGGCCTTGCCTTTTGCACCTTTCTTACACTTCTGTAATAGTCTGACACCAGGTTATACTTTTGTTTTCTTCTTTGGGTATCCATATACTGTACCTTTCATGAACACAGAGATTGTGTGCATTTATATTTGTGTCTCTGATGTCAAACATCATAGGTAACCAAATATTTGTATAAATGAATGAACA